TATTTCTTCCTCATCAATAATTGGAGACCCTCATTCTTCTTTTGTATCACTTGAACTTCAAGGGAGGAAAGACACAAATTTCATAACAAAAACAAAAGTATGCCCTCATATGTACCAGCACGTTTTAGAAAAGGAAGATCTTATAATTTTCAGATCAATTCTATTTAACAGCAAACAACTAGAGTTTAATCTAACTTTAAAAAATAGTTCCATTCTAGGGTGACCTTTTGTTCATACATCAATGCTAACATCTTTCTGCTCTCAGCATGAACATGGTGTAAACTTCCAGACTGTTATGTCAATCTTTCATTCTGTTTTCCTATACCTAACCGAAGATTCCTCAATACACGTGCTCACTCTCTCCCACTCTCTGCATCCCTCTCTCTCTCTCTCTCTCTCTTTCTCTCTCTGTCACACACACACACACACACACACACAGAGTGATAACTTCTGACAGTGCCTGGTCTGAAATAGTCTGCCCCTAAAGCATGTGGTGCTTAAAACTGATTGAAGAAAAAAAGTACGTACTGTTAGTTCCTTTATGCCAACAGGACATATGCTATATTAGTTTTTTCCTTTTTTTAAATTTGATATAGTTCACAATTAAAAAACAACCCCCACCAAAAAAAAAACAAGGCCCAACACAGTAGCCTAGTGGCTAAACTCCTCTCCATGCACTCACCGGGATCCTATATGGGCACCAGTTCTAATCCCGGTGCCCCTGTTTCCCATCCAGCTTTCCACTTGCAGCCTGGGAAAGCAGTTGGGACAGTCTAAGGACTTGGGACCCTGTACCCACGTGGGAGACCTGGAAGAGGCTCCAGGTTCCTGGCTTTGGATCAGCTCAGCTCCGCTCCAGCTGTTGCAACCGTTTGGGGAATGAATCAATGGAAAGATGATCTTCCTCTCTGCTTCCCCTCTATGTACATCCGACTTTCCAATAATATTAATAATAATAAAATTTCACCAACTGCTCCAATAATACATTAAAACAAAAGCAAAAACAAAAACGGGGCTCAGCACTGTGGCCTAGCAGCTAAAGTTCTTGCCTTGAATGTGCCAGGATCCCTTATGGGCGCCGGTTCTCATTCCGGCAGCCCTGCTTCCCATCCAGCTCCCTGCCTGTGGCCTGGGAAACCACTGGAGAATGGCCCAAAGCCTTAGGACCCAGCACCCAAGCGGGAGACCAGGAAGAAGCTTCTGGCTTTGGATCAACTCAGCTGTGAACACTGCAGTCACTTGGGCAGTGAATCAGCAGATGAGAGACCTCTCTCTCTCCTTTTCTCTGCGTTGAAAACTTCCTTTCCATACTCCTACGCAGACTAGATTTTTTTTTTTCATTAGGATTATGGTAGCTTTATTATTTTAGGGAGAAAAAAGCTTTTAAAGTACCAGAGAACTAATATTTTAAAGAACATGGTACCTATTGCTTCCTATTATTTCCTCTCAATGTTGTCACACGTTGCTTCTCTCAACATCCATCAAAAGAACTTTATTCTGTTAGTAATGCTGTGCCTGAAAAAAAACCTTTTTTAAAGTGTGCGAGTGCTTTGATAAGAGCATTTTATTTATATCTATACATTTCATTTATATACATTTCTGCTCCAACTGGCAACAGTTGGGATGTGATGCTTTCTGTTCAACATTGTCTGTCTTTTAAACTGTTTAAAATGAAAGGGGGGGATCTAATTCTTTATAGGAGTTTGTAAAACAAGATAAAGAAGGTTTCCTAGGGGGAAGAAACTCAAGCCTGTAAAAATCCCGTCAAAGTAGACACCAGCTCGCAGTCCAGTCTAAGACCTCCACCTGGCCCACCAGCTGTGCGAGAGTCTGTCTCGTTTTTCTTTCAATAAAACTTTGCTTGGAGGAAATACACATAAACTTCATCCTCTGTGTGTACCTTGAAAATTTTTTTGTGAAAACTTTGCGTATTTGTGAGCTACAGACTAGAAAAATTAGCATGAATAACTCCTGTTAGTGTGACTTCACCATTGAGAACCTGCGATATTTGACTGAGTCTGGGTCAGGAATCTATTAAATGGTTCTTTCTTTACACACCATGGCAAGAATGAACACTTTCAGAATGAAACCAAAGCATGACACTAACACACTCTTCCCGTAAGTCAGGTGTTCTAATATTATCAAAAAGAAGCAAGATCTTAATAAGAAAAAGATCATCATGTGTTCACAGAGAAAAATAATGAATACAAACTTATTCTACAGGCATAGTATCATTTTATAGCAAGAAGGCATTGGGCACTCAAGAACTATTTCAACAGGAGCTAAGTCTGGTAGGAAGTCCTTAGCCTAAACATGATGTTTAACAAGAAATCTTCTTCATCGGTTCAGCAGAATTCTTAATGTTCCAGTTTCACTAATAAATCAGCTACGTGCAAGGATCTTGAAATACAGCTAAGTTTAAGCAACTAGCTTCCTAAAGTTAAAAGTATGAAATCTGTGCACACAGCATCATAAGGAACTAACATCTCAAAACATTATTCTTGCTATCACATAGAGAAGCAACCTAAGTTTCTCAAAGCACCCTGTCTATACAAAATAGAACACGAAGTCTAACCAAGAGCTCTCCCATTTACTCCCATTAATGGACGCCAAACCTGCAGTAAGCCTCGTTCAATTTGTGGAACTAGTCAGCCATGCAGACCACCACCCCTATAGAAGATATTGCTATACCTGGGAGGTGCAGTTTCATCATTATATTCAAGTTATTTCCAAAGTCATGCCTACAATTTTATTTCTCTGTGAATGATTCCTTTCTTGGTTAGACAACACATTTGTCTTTTTTTTTTCCTCTTAGTAATATGTATTTTTCAGGTGTTTTACTGCAGTAAGTTATCATCCTTCCCCCCGAGGCAGATCACAATTATGTCTTGTCAACAATTATATCTCGTACAACAAATGTGTACACAAGACAATGTCCCCATTAAAACAAACCAAAAAAAAAAAAAACCCTTTTGGTACAAATATTATGCCTTATTAGCTTCTTGAGGTATGCTTAAAATACAAATCTTTATTTTTCATGTAAAATTTCAATCCTGTACATCATTAAAATGATGATGAGGTTTTTCCCTAAACTTTATAACATAATGAAGAAAAAAAAAGGAAGAAAAATACAGAAATATCTTTATTAAAGAAGAAAAGCTCTTTACTGAAAATGAAAAGGAGAGTCACCTTGATGATGTATCTATAAATTATTTAGTTTTGTATTTGTAAAAACTACTTTAAATCATTTATCCCAGACCCAGTAAGAGTTCGAGAATTTAACATGAGGAGAGCAGCAGGTATGCCCCCAGGGCACAGAGGATGGTGGCTTGGAGTCTACTCTGCCCTTCACTGCCCCATTGGGAAGCGTGAGCGCCCGAGGGGAAGAGCACCTGCTGGGATTTACACCAGAAACACAGCACCCCGTTCACAGGTGCTCCTCCCAGACCTGCTTCATTATCCTCTATCATTATCGCTTTCAATACTGTTATAATCTCTGCTTACACCTCCTACTTACAGGAAACACTAAAATAGCTGTTAAGGAAAACACACCTGACTTTTATAGCATTATTAAGTGCTTTATATAACTGCCAAATATCTTTATTCCAAATGGTTGGTCATGAAACATTCAGGGGGGAAATATCTTTTAAACATATGATTAATAAGCAGTTGTATAAAAGTACTAGAAGCTAAACTTCCAATTCACAAGTTCTATGTAATTAAAAATATACTTTTTCATCATAAAATATATTATTTGCATATTTAAAGAACAGCAGCATCATCTGAGAATTCAATTATGCTTTTTCCCACATGCACCTCATGGGGTGACTAAATTAATTTAATCAGCCCACAAAGTAGTAATCAGGCACTGGTTTCATTACAATTTTAAGTTTTTTTTCTATAATTTCCATCTGATGGTTTATAATTATACAGAAAGGTATCTGCCTGTGTCTAAATACAGCCATCCAGGAAAGATAAATATTTGGTGAGATCCTCAGGGGTGAAAATATTATAAGACAGTCCTAATAGAAATAAGGTAGAATCACAAGCAAAAATGAGCAGTCACAAACTTTTCATATAGCTTAGTTTTTTCTTCTTATTATAACTGTCTTCTTTTAATTAAAAAACCAAAAATGTAGAAACAACAACAACAAAAAACTCGGAAAAATCAAAAATCTTTAAAACACCCAGGTTTCCTGACATAATAACACGAGGAACAGAAAGGGATAGCACTGATGAAGACAAATTGGGTCAGTAAAAATTCAGAGGATTTCCAGAATTTGCTGTTCAGCCGGCCAGACTTAGTAACTCAACAGAATATTCCTTATAATTCCTTCCTGAGCATGGGTATTAAGAGCCACAATCCTCAAAACCTGGAAGCATGACCATATTAAACACAAGTGCTCAGAAAAAAATGCTTCTTCCTTCCAAATCGAACACCTTGGACTGTTTAGTCTGATGAAGGCAGAGCTTGGCTGAGGAAGAAAAGAGGAAGCAATGACAATGGGTTGGGGAAATATTTTAATCTATCTGCTATCTCCAAATTACCTCTGAAGCTAAACTGGAATTTGTCCATCTGAGAGTTGACTCAGTACATTCTTTCCTATTCTCAACCCTTTAAGATTCTATGCCTTACATAAGTGCTTCTGAATAACCTACTATCTAATAATTTCATCTATAAACTTATAGTAAAATACATGAAAAATTGATTCTATTTTTTTTATCCTTCTCAAAGACAAGTGGTCGATAATCTTCCAGTACAAACTCTCCTCTGTCCATCCTATTTCATTTTTCTTATTTTTAAAAATGCATGCCATAAAAGTAAGCCATTTCTCCTTTCATAGCCACTAAAGTTTATCTAGTCTTTCAAGTAGGCCTGTAATTTCAAAATGCAGTAGGTAGTATTTAACCATATTGTCACATCACATTTAGCAATAACTATGCACTTATTATTCAAGTATTGCAATCCTTCACTTTTCTTGCAATCCATATATTTTTTAAAAAATCATCTATGCCACGACAGCATAGTCCTTGCTTTGTTCGTTGCTTTCGTTTTCTTGTGGACTTGTGATCTTTACTTCTGGCCTTGGTGGTCTTTGAGGATCTATATTAGCCTAAAAGGAAAGAGATCAAAGCAAAGGCATTTAGTTCTTTAGAAGAAAAATCTACTGAGAAACATATTACTGAATATTTGATTTGACCGTATGAATGTTCAGCTGAAACACTCCTCCGGTTCCCTTGGCTGAGTCCACCATGACCAGGGACATATTCTAGTCTCAACACGGTATTTGACGGAAGCCCCTTCTGAGCCCGTGACCCACCCTGTGCTCTGCAGGCACACTCTATCTCCCATGCCACAGGCGTCACTGCTCTCCCTGGTTGTCTTATTGCTCTTGGGAATTTTTCTTTGAACATTTATCCTTTCCAGCTTAGCAGTTTCAGAGGCAAAGGACAGAATTTGCTGTTGTTCCAACTTTCCTGTCCCATTAATCCAGTCCCAGTCCTGAGGGTTTTGGTGTCTTGGTTTCCCCCTAGTGTCGCAGATTTCACTGCCCCTGTGATATGGAATGCTATCAAGTATTAGGAAAAGAGGAGCAGGACAGAAAAAAAAAGTGCATGGGCAGCTTTCCTCCAACAGCGACCACTGTTCAGGCCGCTTGGCCTTCTCATGCGTTGCTGATGATGCTGTCTGCTTGGCAGCTGGTCTTTAAAACCCTCACTATCTGGAGAAGTAAGGAGGATGCACTGGGCTTCAAACTCTGCTCTGGTAAAATCCTGGAAGCTCCATGGCCCCCACAGTGGCCCCAGTGGGAACAAGGAGAGCAGTTCCAATTCCCACAAACAATCATAATCCATGATGCGTGCATTCAAGGAGAAAAAAAAAATACATCCCTGGGACTATGTCTTACTTCGTAGTGTTACCTTGTGGAACATCTCTAATAGTGTCTTGAACACAGGCTCAATACATGTCAACTGATTACTATTTTCTGTGTTTACAGCTGTTCAACAAACATATCACTTCGTACAAAAACTGCTACATGGGACAAATGCCACATGATAAACTTGTAGCCACACTATAAGAAAAGCATTCTTTTTAAAAGCTTATGAATATATAATAGTTCATTTCATTAAAAATCTGGATCTTCATATATTTGAGAGGCTTAAAGTGCAGGAGTACTTCAAAAAGTTCAAAGGAAATGCAGTTAAAACTCAGGTTTACTTTGGCATACCAAAAGATTTGAAACTCACACACATAGGAAAGTCCTCAAAAAAGATCACAGAAAACACATATCATCAAAAACACTACGCATGACTCTCAGTCATTTTGTACAAACATACACTTATCTTAACCTCACCTTTCCACAGATCACGGAAAGTGGAATAAAATCCATCAGTACAGGAGTCAAATTTCTTTATGAACAACTTGTCTTAAGGCATTTGCATAATCCCTAAAATGTTTAACTAGTCACATATCAGGCATGTTCATTTACATCCCTGCAAATTTGGACTCAATATTTTCCACAGATACTGGCACTTCAGGCTCTTACCCAATTATATAACTTTGATCTTAACTGATGCCAGATTCCATCAAAAATCTATTTTTCTGCCCTATTTTTAATTCATTTTAGTGGACATAAGAATTACATATATTCATGGTATAATCAAAATATACACAGACACACACAAATCATAATGGCTAAATCAGTCTAATTAGCCTAGATATTATTTAGCATATTTCCTATTGAGAGAAAATTAAAAAGTTACTCAGGGATTTCAACATACAAAGCACACTGTCACTACCTGGAATCCCTGGGCTGTACAATAGAGCCCTCACAATGTCACCCCTTACCTAAGTTAAACTGTGTGTCTCTTGGCCAACAGCTCCAAATCCCCATCCACTGCCATTTGTAATTACCTTTTGACTCTCTGCTTCTACACGGTCAACCTTTGTAGATTCCACACATAAGTGAGATTATGCATTATTTATTTTTCTGCACCTGGTTTATTTCACTTAACATGATGTCTTCCAGGTCCACTCATGTTGTTGGAAACTATAGGATTATATTTAAAGTTGTATTTATGGAAAACGGAAGGACAAGCAGTCCATTCATTTGTTAAATCTTATTTAGGTCATACATTGAATTAAGCTAGGCCACCGAACAAAATGCATGCTAGGATATTATATCTGCTCCCAAATAGAACTGTGCTTGTATTTCATGCTACAAACTTTCACCAAAGGCTAGTACAACAAAGGTCTTTTCTTTGATACTTACTGCTGAGTTTGCTAAGTAAATGATACCAGGGACCACACAGATCCATATAAAAGGAAATTCTTATAGAATAAACCAGAGAAAAACTGAAATTAAAGTCACTTTGAGAAAAGATGAAACTGCAGACACCCTGGTTGTGTTCACTGAAATGTTAGGAATATTCTGTATATGTTCTACAGTTGATTACATACATCTTTGCGCTAGGCATGGAGTTCTAGCCATGAGAGTATTTTTTAAAGAATGATTTATTCTATTTGAAAAGGAGATTTCGAGACAGTGGGAAAGAAAGAGGAAGGGAGGAGACAGAGCGTAAGAGGCAAAAGTTGTCCATCTTCCATCCAGTGGCTCTCTCTCCAAATGGCCTCAGCAACTGGTAGGTCCAGGGGTTTCATCTAGGTCTCCCATGTACTCGGGGACTCAGGTACTTGGGTCCCCTTTGGCTGCTTGCAAAGAAATTCAGCAGGGAACTGGATGAGAAATGGAGCAGGCTACTCAGAGCAGCAGCTATATGGTCTGCTGGCATCAGAGACAGTGGTTTTCTCTGTTAAGCCATAATGCCGGCTCTCATGAGACCATCCTGTGCTTTGCCATTGCTCCACTTGTTCTCTTGTATTCAGCCATTGTTAAATACACAAGTGCTTTATGCAGTGAATGCTTAAATCAACTACTCCATTTTAGGTGAACTAAATAAACTAGAAACTAGGTTATCACGCATCTAGAAAGCCAAGAAGTCCCCTGGGCCATTTGGGGAATGGGCTAGCAGATGGAGGACCTCTGTCTCTCCCTCTGTAACTTGCCTTTCAAGTACAATTAAAAAATCTTTTAAAAAAAGAAATCTTGGGCCCGGCGCCATGGCGCAGTGGTTAAGGTCCTCGCCTCGCACGCCCGGGATCCCATATGGGTGCCGGTTCTATCCCAGCAGCCCCGCTTCCCTTCCAGCTCCCTGCCTGTGGCCCGGGAAAGCAGTCGAGGATGGCCCAAAGCCTTGGGACCCTGCACCCACGTGGGAGACCCGGAAGAGGCTCCTGGCTTCAGACCGGCATAGTATCGGCCGTTGTGCTCACTTGGGGAGTGAATCATCAGACGGAAGATCTTCCTCTCTGTCTCTCCTCTCTGTATATCCGCCTTTCCAATAAAAATAAAAATAAATCTTTAAAAAAATTAAAAAAAAAGAAATCTTTAGAAAATTTTTTTGAAACATGAGATAGGAGATAGATGGGTGGACAACAGAAAAATAAACATGGACTGTCAGAGAGGGAACCGGCTTTAAGGGGTCAATGAAACGATTAAATGGTGTTAGAGCTCTCCATTCAAGCCTGAGTGGTTTCAGCACAAGTCATATGTGTTTGAGTAACTCCTGAAGTGCACACACACACACATATTCCTGTGGGCACACAAGTAGGCACAAGAACAGAAATACCTCCTCGTGTCCATTTCCAGCTCCTTGAGCCTTTCCTTCTTCACCAGCTGCCGGCTGAGGCTCGCTGCTGACCGGCTCCAGCTCCTCCCCATTTTCTTCGTCAGTGCCTCCGCTCACCCGCGCAGGAGCTGCCTGCTCCTCACTGGTGTCTGGGATCTCCTCAACCTGCCCAGGGACATCTGTCGCCTGTTTCTCACCATCACCTTCCACATCACCATTCATTCCCGCAAAGTCTTCCTTCTGTCCCTCTTCCTTGGTCATTTTCTCTCCATCTTCTTCCTCATCTACTATTTCTGCTGGCCTCTGACAGATGAAAAGAAATAATGAATACAAAAAGAAAGGGTAACAGAGACTTTCTAGTGTACATTACCAGCAATATAATAATTACCAGAGTCAGGTAAAATTCAAATTTGCATGTTTGGCAATACATACGTGCTTCAGTTGACTGAGTACCCACAGAATGACACACCTCAAAAATATCTCCTCATTTAATCCCCACAACAATCCTGTGACAGGGGTGTTATTCCCACTTTACAGATGAGAAAACTAGGGCACAGACAGCCAAGTGTTGAACTCTGGGTTGCAGAAGAGCCAGAATTTGAACATCAGTCAGTTGGAAACGGACAGGTCGGGATGTTAACATGGACAAATCCTTCCACCCTCATTGTTGTTTTATTGATGGCAGGGAAGAAATATGCTTTGGAGAAGAATGGATCATAACAAATGAGAAAGATATTTCTTTGTTTATTTAAGGATCTATGATATGCCATATGATGGCACTTTTTGCAACTTATTTAGCCCTCCATTGAGGTCTTATTATTATATTTCCATTTTACAAATTAAGGATCTGAATTTCACAAAAGTTAGGGAGCATGCCTGGTCAAGATTGGAACCTAAATTGTTTTTCTCTCCAAGGTATTTATTTTGGAACTCAAACTCATGCTACCTTTAAAAAATAATTTTCTTGTGTCTTTTTTAATGTTTTATTTTAAAGGTATAAATTTTTAAGATATTTATTTTTATTGCAAAGGCAGGTTTCAGGGAGAAGAAGAGACAGTGGGAAAAATCTTCCATCTGCTGTTTCATTTCCCAAATGGATGCAGTGGCTGGAGTTGATCGATCTAAAACCAGAACTCAGGAGCTGCCTCTGGGTCTCCCACATGGGTGCAGAGTCCCAACGAATTGGGCTATCCTCTGCTGCTTTCCCAGGCCATAACAAGAGAGCTGGATGGAAAGTGGAGAAGCTGGGATGTGATCTGGCACCTCTATGGGATCCTGGCACTTGCAAGGGAAGGATTAACTGATCAGTCATGCTAGGCATAAAAGGTAGATTTTACAGAGAGAGAGAGAGATGGAAAGAGAAGTCTTCTATCCATTGGTTTATCCCCACAAATGGCTATAATGGCTGGAGCTGAGCTGATCCACACTTAGCAGCCAGGAGCTTCTCCGGGTCAGCATTACTTCCATATCAATTCGAAAAACACAGCACAAAGGGAAAACTATAGACCCACATCTCTCATGAACACTATAGAAAAAAATTCTCAACAAGATACTAGCAAACTGAATCTGAAATCATATAAAAATATCATATATCACAATAGAGTTGAATCTATCCCAGAAATCTAAGGGTGGACATTCACAAATCAATAAACCTCATAAATCAAACATCAAGAGAATAAAGAAACAAAAGCCACAATCATCTCAACAGATGCAGAGAAAGCATTCAGCAAGACTGAAAGCCTCTTTATGATAAAAAAAATAAAAACCCCATAAATTAGGTATAGAATGAACATTTATCAAAATTATAAAGGCCGATATCATATTGACTGAGGAAAACCTGAAAGTATTTCCCCTCAGATCTGGCACAAGATAAAGATGTCCACTTTTGCCACTCAGTATAGTACTGAAAGTTTTAGCAAGAGAGAGCGCAATTAGAGAGGAGAGAGAACTAAACGGCATCAAAAGTGGAACAGAGGATGGTCCATGTACCCAGATGACATGATGTTATCCACAGGAAAACTTAAGCACTTCACCAAAAAGCTACTAGAATTTGTAAACTAATTCAGTAAAGTTGCAGGTGTCAAAATAGATCCCCAAAAGTAGCATTTTTGCATGCTAGTGATGAACTTACAAAAGAATAAATCAAGAAACAAATCCCATTCACAACAGTCACAAAAAATCAAATATTTATGAATAAATTTACGCAGAGAAGTTCAAGATCTCTACAATGAAAATTATCAAACATTGATGAGAGAAATCATTGAAAGACACAAAAAATGGAGACTTTTCATTGCTCACAGAGTGAGTCAATCAATATCATTAAAGCCTATACTACCTAAACAAATCTACAGATTCTGTGCAATCCCTGTCAAAACACCAATAACAGTTTTTACAGAATTAGAAAAAAAATTCTAAAATGCGTATTGAGTTACAAGACACAGAATATTCCAAATGTCTTGAATAAGAAAAATCAAGCTGAAGGCATCACATACATTATCTTAACAGCACAGCACACTACTGGGCATGTCAGCTGTCTCTTCTCACGACCACAGGGAGCTGTGCTCACTGTGGCTGCCGAGCATAACCACACAAGACCAATGCATGGTTCCACCCAGAAAAAAACACAAGGTCACAATTCTAAGTACAGTTTCTACTGACTGTACATGGATTTACACTATCCTAAAGTTAAAGCTTGTTGATCCTACCAGCACGAGCCATGAAGTGTCCATTAGGGTTGTACCTGGAACAGTACATCACAAACTCTCAGAAACACTATGGCACCAATGGCCAGTGAGACAATAAATTTCTCTAGATGACAGCCATCTTCCCTTTGCTAATTTGTTACCTGGATGGCCACAGCAACCAGGGCTGGACCAGGCTGAAGCCAGGAGCCTGGAGCCCCACAGGGGCTCCCACAGGGTAGCAGGGTCTCAAGCCATGTTTCTTTGCCCTCTTAGGAGGACTTACATGGAGAGATGGGAAATGCAGCAGCCAGGACTTGAGCTGGTATTCCAATATGTCTGGCATTGCAAGCAGTGGCTCAATCCACTGCACAGTTCCTTCACCAGATTTCTTTTTAAATTATCTCTGAAAATTGGACCACTGTTTTGATCGTTACTGCGTCTTAACTTGCTTATTCAGAGCAACTTTTCATTTTATGCAGCATTTCTTAATTAAAGTGAAAGACTCATAACAAAAATGGAAAACCTAACTGTAATTGCTCAAGAATCTAGATATGATTATTACAAGTACTTGCCAAAGGCTATTAAAATGACTATGTCTAAGCAAGAAAAAAAAAGCTTTTCTTTCTTGACATCTGCATTTATGAATTCCTAAGAACCATTAAGGTAATATTGTCGCTTTTTTTTTTAGTTTTATACGTATGTTAATCTTACCTCTCTCTAATTTCCAAACACATATTCTTGTTTATTGTACTTTCAATGCAAAGAGTTGGTATGCAGCCTAATCTCTTTTTAAGAAAAAGGACACCAGGCCCTAAGGCAGAGTTCTGCGATCAGCACCATCACCAACACTACTAACAAGCAGTGCTATGCTTTCATCCCATTACTGCTATTAAGCTTTCCAATACAGTTATTTTAGGATTCATAAAGTGAAGCCACAACTTGCTACCTCAAAGAAATACAAGATTATGGTAATCAAGTATCAATTTGATCAGTTTAAATAAGATAGCAACAGTTAAAAGATTTATGATTCTTTAAAATACCCTGATTTAGAATGAAAATTATTATTACTACAGTACTACAATTCGGGGCAAAACAAACGCTGCTATGACAGATCTGTAATGAATAAATGAAAAGCAATGTGCTTTTTGGTATAATCTCCTTTGAAGTAGGCATTCAATTATTAAAGATGTTTCCAGTGTAGACATCAATCACATCGTCCCCACAAGGATCACTGGATTCTACACCCACACACAGAAATAAAATCCATATCATGGTGAGAATCTGCTAGGGAGGAGGGCCTCCTGCCTCCAGCGGGCAGGTGTCCACACAAGTAAGGAGCTATTCCTTGACAGAAACACGGAGTAGGCTCCACACTTGCTGAACTCCCATATCTGCTCTCACTGCAGACACACCACTCAGAACCAACAGCAGCCCTGGCAGGGGGACTCACACAGGAGAACTGACTAGGTGTCAAGGCTGACTCTGCCTCCCTCCTTGCAGACGCCAATTTTCATACAGTTCTGGAGATGGTTTCATGCCCAGGGATGGTGCTGGGGAGGGCCAGGATAACACTGGAGTCTGCTGGTAGCTGTGATAGTAAAGATTAATCCTCAATGCTAAGTGCACTATGCAGAATGAAGTCAGTCCAGAGGAAAGATGGGCCACTTCAGCCCCAGGACAGTGGACCTGCCTCGCCTTGCTTCAGAGTGCCCCAGAGGATCTGGGGATGCTAAGGACCCAATGAAGTTATGTGTTAAAAACTGAGCTGACTCCACACACATGAGTTATAATCACTATTTCACAGGCCACTGAATGGACAGAGGTGAGAAGGGGTCTGATGGAAACTCTGGCACAGATTTGCACTATTGGACTTATTATCCAGTCAGATACATAGAGCAGTATTCCTTCCTAATCTCATTTATATGGGGCAAAAGAAAAAAGTGATGCCAAGATACACAGTGACTGTTGCCCTGATCAGTTAACACAGCAAAAATGCAGCCTGATGCCCAACTTCTGGTCTACAGTGATGGTTAATCTGATTTACATAAGCTAATCGCATTCAGTCCTAGTTACATTTGCTCTTTGCTTCTAAGATTGCTAGCATACATTTTTCACACTAGATTTATCATACAATCAATAGCTTCAGTTTGTCTGCTTTTGAACTGCTATCTAGTTTTAAGAATGACACAAATATGCTCCCAAGATCCTAAACAAAGATGACTTCTCAAATTAGCACACACACCTGGCTGACACAGGACTCTGCCTTTAGTTGGGATGACAGGTTGGCAGGAACCAGTAAGGGGTCTAATCATGGCAGACATGGAGAGGGCATATTGCACTTCCCAAAGCACTTTCAGATACATCTTCTCATTTCATCTTCTCATCCTGTTGGCAGGTGTAACTATCTCTGTCGCAGAGAATGCGAACGTGTATCAGGAAAACCAATCAGCTGGCCATGATTTATATGGATGGTAAGACACAACGTCTATCTATATCACACAAACATACATACATACATACATAAATGTCCACACTGAAGGTCATTGGTCCTGGAGAGTTGAAAATCTGGTCACCACAGTAACCAGGAACCTGGATAAGGCCAGCTCCTATCCATGACTA